TGCTACGAGTAGGACCTCCGCCTCATCCTCTATCACTCTTTTGATTACTCTGGGGGTCAATGGGAGTGGGGGGAATGCGTAAAGTAGATCCTTGGGCCACGCCCCTCAGAGGGCAATGGCTCTTTTTGCCCCCAGCGTTGAGAACCCTGAATAAAATCTCAGCAGTTACGTATTCGTTGGGGACGCAAACAGATCCAGGACTGGCTTCCCAAACCTGTGTGACAACTCCCTGAAAAGGTCTGGGTGTAGACACCATTCTGCATGGTTGACTATTGTCCTGTTGAGCCAGTCTGCCTGCACGTTCTCCATCCCCGAGATATGTTCGGCTCTGATCGATAGGAGATGCCTCTCTGCCCAGTGGCCTAAATGCTCTGCCTCCTTATAAGCGCTTGGGAGTGGGTTCCCCCCGCCTGTTGATATCTGCCTTAGCAACCACAGGATTATGATGTGCTGATCTACTGTATTTGCCTTGAATGTCCTTAGGACCAGGTGCATAGCTCTGAGCTTCAGCCAGTTGATGTTGTTTCTGAGGTCTTCCTTGGACCACTTCCCTTGTGAGATTTGAGACTGGGAGTGGGCCCCTCTGCCAAATAGGCTGGCATCTGTTGTAATTGTCATTCGACTGGATTCCTTGAACCGGCATCACCTGGTCATTGCCTGTGATTTCCACCACTGGATTGCTTCACTTTTGGTGGGACCCGCACCCTGGTTTTTGCTTTGCCCTTGCCTGCTCTCTGGTAAGAGGAACCATTATAATGTTTTTGCGTGCAGCCAAGCCCAAGGTACTATCGAGATGCACGATATCATTTCCCCTAATAGTTGCAAGAGCAAGTCCAGAGCAACCACTGGTGCTGTGAACACCTGACCTATCATTGCTTTTATGCTGTTCTGCCGCTCCTGCGACAGATAAACCTTGTAGGAGTGGGTATCTATGACTGCCCCCAAGTGTTGCAGTCGCCTTGTCAGATCCAGATGGCTCTTTTGGAAGTTCACATAAAACCCATGTTCTTGTAATGTCCATACTGTGGTCTCTACGTCCTCCTTCACCCTTACGGGGGAGGAGGACTGTATTAATATGTCATCTAGGTCGCATTGGACGCGTATTGGTATTATTCTGAGATGGGCCTGTCAGTACGATAGTGCTGCCAGTACTTTGGTGAACGTTCTGGGCACTGAAGAGAACTCGAATTTTAAGGCCCTGTATTGGTAATGTTTTCCCGTGTAACAATCTCACAGGAAACTTCGATGTGGTTGGACAATCAGGATGTGCAAGTATGCCTCTGTGAGGTCTACTGATGTCAGGACATCTCCCTCTCAGACACTCCCCAGGATTGACTGTAGGGATTGCATCTTGAATCTCTTGTACTCTGTGTATCTGTTCAGTCTTTTGAAATCTAAAATCGGTCTCCATCCACCCACCCCAATGCCTTCTGGACTACAAACAGGATTGAGTAAAACCCTTGCCCCTGTTCGTCCCTTGGTACCAGGTGGACCGCTTGAATGTCCAACAGATGTTGAACTGCTGTCTCCATGATGCCCCTTTTGGTTCTCTCTGTTATAATTGGGCACCTTCTGAAGGCATTCAGAGGTATGGAGAGAAATTCCAGAGCTAAGCCTTGTTTTATTGTGTTCAGGACCCACTTGTCTGTTGTTGTTGCTTCCCATCGGTCAACAAATAGGCCCAGTCTTCCGCCGATGGGTGCGCTGTTCTGGTTGTCACTTTGTGTGTCAGAAGATCCTGAATGGTCACTTTCCTTGAAATCGTTGACCACCCCGTCTCTAAGTCCGGTTCTGTACAGCTGGCATGCCTGTGTGTGTGTATGGTCTCTGGGGGTGCTGGTGACCAAAGCCTTCCCCAGTGGCTGGAAAGGACTGCCTTCGCGTGTAAGGTGAAGGCTGCCAATCTGTTCGGCCATATATCCTAGGCAAGATCTTCCTCGTCCTTGGTCTCTACCAGCATGGACTCAATGGCTTCCCTGAATAGTTTATTCCCCTTAACTAGGGCAGAAGCTAGTTTCCACTTGTGCTTCAAATCTGCCTGCCAATGGCAGAGCCAAACCAGGTGCCTGTCTGTCACCGAAGTTGCAATGGCCTTGGTAGCATATTTGACACCATTAAGGGTGGTGTCAGCTATGAGCTCCAATGTTGCTCTCATCTTGTTCAGATCCTGTTGTGATTGAAGATCACCAGGTGGCGCCCTTTCCTGCATTTGACAAAGCCATATCAGGGCTGCCCTGCTGAAAAATTACACAGTTGAGGTAGCCTTTACTGCCCATGCTACTGCCTGGTGAACCTTCTGGAGGGTCTGCTCCGCCTTCTTGTCTTCTCCCTTCAGACCCTCTTCCACTTCATTGGCCAAGATGGTTGCTGATATAGAAGCTGCCTCTGGCCCATCTATTGTTGGGATCTGAATCATTTTGGCCAATTCTATGTTGTAATTCTTCTTTTCATTCCCACCTAGTGTTGGGAATACCACTGGTGACCCTCCATCACCTTCTTGAACAGCTCAAGTGAGGGTACCATCTCGCATTCCACCTTAGTTCTTGCAAAGAGACGATCTTTTGGGTCTGATGAATCTGGTACCGATAGCTTTGTTGCTGTGAAAATGCCCAGGCTTGTTGCTGCTTTGGCTTTACCTAGCAACATCTTAAACAACTTTTGGCAAAACAAGCCAGTGAATGCTGGAGCCTCTGTCACCTTCCTCATCAGAAAATGCTGTTTCCTTCTGTTCCTCCTCCTGAGTCTGAAGCCTCACTTTGGGTGTATGACCACATTGAATTGGTTCTGTGGAAACTCAATTCCTCCCGTCTGTCTGGCTAGCAAGAGATGCTGTTTGTTAGGTATCCTTTCTTTATTCATTGGTAAGGGTAAGGCTGAAGGTCCTGCTCCTCCCTAACCTCTGTTAGTACTTCTAACATCAGGGCTTTCATCTCATCTCTAAAGGTAGGCTCCCTGAGTCCTACAGCTGTAGGATTAAAACTAGCTTCTGGAGCCAGTCTCCTCCTCTTTGGGAAAGGTTCCCAACTATTACTGAAGTCCTGGGAGCCTCCCTACATCTCTGATAAACACTCTTCTTTAAACAAAGAGCAGGCTGAATATACTGCACACCAGCTCCCTCTGGCGTTTGCTCACCAGCTCCCTCTGGTGTTGCAGTTCTGGCACTATTCTCTTGTTGCCTCGTTTCTATTGGTTTATTTGTTGAAGCGTGGGAATTTCTGTTCCTCTCTCCCTCCCTTTCTTCCTTTGCAAAACTCTTCTCAATGGCTCTTTGTCTCCTTAAAGCCTCCCTTTCATCAGCCTTGGACACCTTGTGCAAAGGCTTTTCTTTCTTTCCCATTACTGCTGTTCTACTGGCCGCCTTAGGTCCTTTAGAGCCCTGTTCTCTAGCTGGGCTTGGGTCAGGCAATCCCTGAACCTCCAAGCCTGCCTCCATTTCCGAGAATTCAGCTATGTTGTCCCCTTTTTTCCTTGAGACAGGCAGCTTTGCCCATGCTGGAGTTCTGCTGTTGCGGTCTGATGTTTTTTGATCGCTTGAGAGTATGCTCAGCTGCAACTGAGTAGTGACTCTGCTATTGCTTGGGACCCTTCTTTAGGGAAACGGCTCTGGCTGCTTCAGGATGAATGAGTTCTCAGGCGTCTGCTTGCTTGGGGCTGCGGCTTTCTTCTAAGCCCAAACAGCAGTTTGGTTCCGCTCCATGACCTCAGGATGGCCAAGCGTCTGTCTGCTTTTCCCCCTGGGTCTCTCTGAGTGGCAGCTATGTTTCAGGATGGCCAAGCGCTAGCCCGCTCGCTTGCCGCTTCAGAATGGCCAATTCTATGTCAGGTCAAAAAGTGTCCCAGTGATGGCGGAAAGGAGTTGGGGGGAAGGAGGAAACAGGCGCCACAAACACTTTTCGTGCCCAGGAACTTCCATTGACTCGTCTCTCTCAAAGGGAAAGAAACTGCAGCAGAAAGGAGACAGTTCTTTGCAAGGTGAGTCCAGCATGGCAGGGAGGGAGAAACATGAGATATCTTAGTGGGTTGGGAAGGCCTCGGAGGCCTGTTCCATCACTAGGTCTCCCATGGCCTTCCTTACCCTGAGTACTTCATGTGCACTTAACGAGCCACACATTCGTCCACGTATTAAATTAATGAATGTGAAAGCAGGGAGTGATCTTCTTCAAGGTACAAGATTCACTCCCATAAATATTCAAGATACAAATGGAATGGGCAGGCTCCATTACATTGGTAACTTGAGGACTACCTGTATTATCACATAATTAGAGAATAAGTCTGTTTTTACTTCATACCTCGAAACATTTACTATTAAAATGTATCATCTTTTAAAGAAAATATAAATGTCAACTTACATCTTCCCTTTCTTTCAAGCTTGCTGCCAGGAGGGCAGAGCTGATATCACAGTAACATGACGTGTCTCACAGAGAACTCCGTGGGACTGTTGAAATCCTAACTGCCGGGTGGTCGTAATTCGACCTAAATTGCCTGGGAGGGGCGTGAATGAAGAGCGTGCACTCTGATGATCTCAGAAAGCCCACAATCTCCCTGATTGATCCGGAGAAGGTTCTCTAAATTGACAGCAGGGGAAGGCCATTGCGTGCCATTCCGAAGCTGGGACAGTCACCGGAAGAAGTGAGAAGGCAGAAAGAAGGTGTGATCAATCTGGTGAGAGATTTCCAACACTGAACTTTTAATTTTAATAGAAGACACCCCCCCCCGGGGGGGGGGGGAATAATGTAGTGAAAGTGAGACCCAAAGGGGGAGGTGGAATTGGTTTGTTTTTTAATATTCTACCTCCAGAAGAAAAGCATCGAGGAGAGCTTTAAAAGCCATTATTGAAATAGGAATTTGGCCAAAAGGACTTGTTGAAAGAGCATATTTAGAAAACTGGTCTGGGTATTTTAATTTTTAAGTTAGAAATTACTGGACACTATAAAAACTGACTATATTGGCATCTTCTTTTTATAAATATTGCATTTTACAATTTGAATTAGGATATACAGTAAAAAGGAGGAAAGAAAGAGAGAAGCAGAGCAACAGTGCCATCTATAGGCAAAAGTGAAAATTGGAAGACATAAGAGAGAAAGGGGAAACTATACACACAAATAATCTTGAGAGCCTGAACATTTAATGATAAGAAGTTGTTTTGACCGAAGAACTAAGATAGAGAGTGGAATACGAAAATTCTTTTTTCAAATAGTGTAGCTCTTGGAAGTTAAATGGAAATAAACCAGAAAGCAAACAGAAGCTGAACAGTAAAAGACCTTCCTTTCTTTTTTATTTGGTTTTTTTTTTTCCTTTGCTCTGTGAACTCTCTCCTTGGATATAAAATAACTGGTGGTTGAACTTTTGGGGAAGAGGTAATCAGGTGGCACACAGTTATCTGTATGGGCACGCGAGCCCTAGCTAAACTTACCTGCACTGCGCATGCACGCACAACCCAGGTGATTTTTGGCCCATTTGAGGCCGTTTTCACCTTTCTTGAGCTTCCAGGAGGGCGAAAACGGCCTCCCCCGGGCTCCAGAGGCTGAAAAATGGGCATTTCCGGTATTTCCTGAAGGCCCATTTTTCAGACTCCTGAGGCTGCAGAGGCATTTCTCGAGGGCGAAAATGGCCTCAAACAGGCCAAAAATCATGCTTTCGCACACCACAACAAAAAAAGTTCATCATCACTGATATAAGCCCTCCATGAAGACATGAAGGAAAGAATAGGAAAAGTAGAAGAAAAAAACAGAGAAAGTAAAAGACAAAATAGAGAATTTTCAACAAATGATGGTGAAAAATGAACAACATATACAAAAAGTAGAAGAGAAAGTTGAATCCACAGAAAAAAGAGTGGGAAAGCTTGATTATAGGCTTACACTAGCAAATCAAAACAAAGTAAAAATAAGATTATTATTTGAGATTTCAGAACTTGGAAGAGGAGAAGGGAGAAAATTTAGTGGAGATAATGCAGAATTGTTGATGAGGGCTTTGGAAGTGCCCAAAGAAATTTTTTTTGGCCGAGATCAATGAAATATTTAGAATGCACACTAGATATGCAATAAAAAATAGACTTCCTAGAGAGGTCCACATGAGATTCACTAAGAAAGCAATAAAACAGATTTTGCAGAGAGCAAGAGATGATCCCTTGAAATATAAAACTAGAGATTTTGGATTACCAAATTGGGATACAGACTACCAGGCTGCGGTGTTAACATGGATGAAAGAATGGATTGTATTGAGAAATGTCAGATTATTGAAATTGGAGGGACATGATTTGCAATTGGGTTGGCTGCCTTCTTATGGTATGGGAAAAGTAAGATTCATGGTTACTTTCAAAGACATTATATAAGAAATGCTTTACTGTTAGTGTGGGAGAAAATTAGAGAACAGCATTATTTGAAGACACCAGTTTGGCTTTCGAAGCACATTCACCCAAATATTATTAATATGGGAAATATTGTTAGATACAAAGACATTTTGGATGAAAAGGGTGAGCTCAAAACTAAACAAGAATTGAATGAACAAGGGATTGATATGGTTTGATATACACAACTGCAAATAAAGTCTAGATATGAAAAAGATGCTAAACTATATGGTTTTTATATAGGATTGACAGAATTGGATAAGATATTAACAGGAACAGAAGACAGGTTGATAAAAAAACTATATCTATTTATTGGGTATCAAATTAGAAGAAGAACAAGTGAAGGAGGCCATGATAGCATGGGCAAAAAAATTTGGCTATACAACAGAATTAGAAAAATGGCAGCAATTGTGGGATAGAAATTATAAACTAACAATATCAATTGCATATAAAGAAAACTTGTATAAGATGTTTTATAGATGGCATTTTGTGCTGGCAAGATTGGCAAGGATGTTTAAATGTTGGAAATGCCACCAGACACCTGGGTCATATTACCATATGTGGTGGGCATATGTAGAAGCCAAAAAATATTGGACAAAAATACATACGTGGTTGGAGATGATGATACAACAGCACACTGACTTGAAACCTGAAATATTTTTGCTGGGGATTTTACCAGAAACTTATAGTAAAGAAAATGTATATTGGTTCACTTCAGCTTGTTTCTTCATGTGAATTTTCTTCAGATCTTGCCCAACCATTGTTGTATTCAGTTCATTCCTAGTAGAAGTACCTTTTCTATAAATCTATGGAGTCAAGGGCTTTTCTTTCCTAGGGATTGAGCGCAGGCAGCCCTGACAATAACTTCATAACGTACAATTAATTTTCAGGAGTTTTGCATGGTATTTTTTTCAGACCTTCAACCGCAATTAACAGGTTAAGGAAAAAAGTATTTCAAAAACAAATATGAACTGAAGTACAAGTAACATCGCAGTACTTGATGTTTCACTGTTTACCAGAGGATTAATAAAATCTGGTCCTCATCTCATCATCATCACTTTAGCCATTCTCTATCTACTGCAGGATGGAGGCCTTTTCCGCATGTTTCCAACCAATACGGTCTTTTCTTTTGCCAATTGGACCCACAATTGATGTTGTCGATCCATCTTGTTTTAGGTCTCTTTCGTGGTAACTTATTATCAAGTGGGATTCATTCTGTGACTGCCTTGGTCCACCTGCCATCAGTTCTTGCTATGTCACCAGCACATTTCCATTTCAATTCCTTTTACTCTCTTTTGATGATATTGTATACTTTTGTATCAATTGTGAGGCTAGTGTCCATGTTTCACTGGCATATGTTAGAGCACATAGCACACACTGATTGAAAACTTTTATCTTGGACTTCTAGTTTGGTCTGCCTCGAAGACGGACTGAAATCTGCTGGGTTGAGGGGAGCCGCATCTCCCCTCCTTGGCTTGGTAATTACTTCCCTCCGAAGACTGCTGTGGTGGCCAATAAAATGGCCACCCCGAAGAGGTAATCTGATCGGGACAAGATTGTGCGGGTGCGGTGAAGAAGAGGACAGCATAGAAACCAGGAGAATTGGGGCAGAAGGTACCCCGCATTTAAATTTTTCAAAATTGTTAAGAAAGTGGATTTGAGTGGTGGACAAAGAAGAAAGAAATATTTAACAGCTTAAGTGGCTTTGTATCCTAAAAGGAAGAAGCTGGGAGAAGAAGCTCGCGTTTGAATTAATTAAATATATAACCCTGACACTAAATAGGCATAATTAAAGCTGGATTGGATTGTGTCAAGGTGGAAAATAAAATTAAAAATTGACATTTGGACTTACTGATTTTGGAACTTTAAAAATCTGAATGAGAGAAAAAGCCGGAAAAAAAAAAAGAATTGATTCTGAATACAGCAAAGTGTGCCATCTAATGGAGAAGGGAATTGTTTATTTGCATCCCTTCCTATTTTAAAGTTTGGATCTGCTAAAGACTTACTTGATACGAAATAACCCAAATTAGGACACTACAAAATAGAGACCCTGTAAAGTGAAAGTGGAACATTAAAACAAAGGAAAAATCGTGGGATAGTTTGGTGTTTTTCCATAAACTTTAATTTATGGACATTGAAATGTGAATTAACCTGGAAATCTTCTGAAGAGGAACTAATAAGAGTTAAACATTGGAAAAAACTTTATGGACATTGTTTAAAGATGGCAGGAATGCTTTTGGAACTAAAATTGGAACTTAGAAACATGAAAGACGTGCTACAAGAAGGCAAGTCGCTTGGTTTTGCTCTACAAGTTTTAAAAATGGTGATTTCAGAATATGAAGAACAATAAGTAGGGCTAGAAGAGAAGGAATCAATTAAAGAAATGGCCATCTTAAATGAGCATTTGCAACAATGAAAACTTAAGCAAAGGGGGAAAAGAAAGGGAACTAAAAATAGGAGGTTTGAAATTGTAATTAAAAAGGTGTTTAATTTGAAAACCAAACAAAGTGAAAGGAAACAGGAGGAAAGAGAATTCCAGGAGTACTGAAAAAGGAAGGGGATAGAAATCGGGGTAATAAAAAGAGGGAAAGAATGAAGCAGAACCATGAAATAAAGAAATATGGTAAGCAAATAACAATTAAAAGGAACTGTTTATTTAAAAGGCATAGAGATAATGGTTAATTGAGATTTAAAGAAGGGGATTCTGCAAGTTGACAAGGGGTAGTTTAAATAAATTAGAAATAATAAACTATCAAGAAAATAGTGGAATATAGATTATTAAAATGGGAATGGGAATGATACTGTTCTGTTATTGTAATGATTGTTTGCTCCTTTCCCTTTTTGTATGGAATTAAAAGAGGTAATTAGAATGACATTAACAATGTTTAATGAATTTATAAGTTATAGTTGAAATGGAGTACAAGTATTGTTGATAGGAGAATATTAGTTCTTGCAAAGAAATGAAGAGATTAATTATGTTGTTTTTTCATTCTCTTTAAATCAAATATACTTTTTATGTAACCAAAAGGGAAACTTGTAGACCCAGGCTTGAAAGAGACATATGCAATGTAGTAACTACTACAAAGTTATTATGGATTTTTTCTTTAATGTTAATTCAAAATTAAAACTATTGGAATCTTAGGGGGGATTAACTATGTGATATGTTAACCACAGGGATGGCATCTCGAAATTGGCAATAATAGGGGTGTTTCTTTGTTTGTTTTTCTATACTTGAAATGTTTGAATTGAGATTAAATTCTTGGAATGATGAATTAAATATAGGTGAGGAAATTGCAAACCTGACAGAAGAGAATATAAAATATGACTGTGAAGATATTTAAAGAGGCATTAAGGAAATAGATTAAGTAATGTACTGAAAAAAATTATAAAATAAGCTGGAAGAAGCTAGATGATCAAAACTAAAGAAAATATACACTGCTCAAAAAAATAAAGGGAACACAAAAATAAGACATCCTAGATCTGAATGAATTAAATATTCTTATTAAATACTTTGTTCATTACATAGTTGAATGTGCTGACAACAAAATCACACAAAAATTATCAATGGAAATCAAATTTAGCAACCCATGAAGGTCTGGATTTGGAGTTACACTCAAAATTAAAGTGGAAAAAAACACTACAGGCTGATCCAACTTTGATGTAATGTCCTTAAAACAAGTCAAAATGAGGCTCAGTAGTGTGTGTGGCCTCCACGTGCCTGTATGACCTCCCTACAATGCCTGGGCATGCTCCTGATG